ATAAAACAGATCGGTGGTTTTTCAGAGCTGGCACAGAAACAAGGACTGATTTTAAATAGGCACAAACGAGCTTTTTGGAGTGCTGGAAATATTGCAAAACTAGATTGTGGTAGAAACTGCACAACTCTACCAATTTGCTAAAAAAGTCATTGAATTGTAGCCTAACATGCAGTGAGTTTTAGGGTCTGTAAATGACATCTTAGTGAGGCCGTCTGAAGAACACATCTTGCTGGTTTCTGGGCTCCTGCGCAGCAAGTAGCTGTCTCAGCGTCTCTGGGCCCTGTGTTTAGCACGTGTTACACGTACCCGTCTGCAGACTCCTCCATCAACACCATGGGCCAGGTAGCAAGATCCCCATTTCACAGATAAGGAAGACACACAAAGAAGTAATTTGCCTAGGGTCAGATACAGTGGCAGTAGATGTGATACAGGTCAGCCTCCGGGGTCCAGCGCTTAATCATTATCCTCCCACCAGCAGGACCAGCCAGGCAAATAGTGGCCATTGATTTTTCAAGCAAGTGTCAATCTTTTCTAACTCCTTTTCTTCTTCTCTAGAACTGTGTCCCCTCCACCTCTGCCCCCACCCTAGGACTCTCCAGACTAACAGGCTTGTCCTTGCATCTAGAACACTCCCCAGGGAGTCATTGTGGGCTCTGATGAACAGACAGCCTAGGAGCTTCTGCAGATTCCACAGCTGCTCTCAGACCTAACTCTTTCTTACCCTCCATATCTCCAGAATGCTTTTCACACAAATCACAAAGGTCTTTACAAACACACATGACTGCGGTCATACCTAGTGGAGGTGTCCAACCTGTGGCCCCCAAGCTGCATGCATATTATGTGAGGACATTTTTGCTTATCTGTAGTGACAGGTATCATGGAAATTATGCATGGAACTTTTTATTTGCTCATCAGCTTTTGTTAGTGTCTGTGTATTTAATGTGTGGCCCAACACAACTCTCCTTCTAATGTCTGGCAGAGAAGAAAAAAGGTTGGATACCCCTTTACAGGGTCTTTATAGGTAACAGAACATAGGGTCCCAGGGCACATCTTTGGTTTTTAAAAACCAATCTGAACATTGCCATTGCTCTGAAAGAAGATATTATACTCTCTGGCCTGAGGCTAATACATAAGATTTTCCCAAGAAACGTATAATGAAAACCTTAACATGCCCAGACACACTCAGGATAGGGAATGATAGTGCTCACTCTTAGATTACAAAGGAATTCCCTTTGTTGGAGACAATGCCTCTTTCAGAGAGCTGATCTAAAAAAGCATGCAATCCAGATCAATGTTTTAATAAGGTGAGAGGGTACTAAGGGAGAACAGTGGTCCCCCCACCCTAGGGCTGGGAGACTTGCCCCTTGGGTGCCTGCAACCAGGTGGGCTGAGTTTCCCGCTGGAGACTTCAGTGTACATTTTAGCCTGGGGTGCTCTCCATGATGTCAATTGGCTCCCTCTGGCTTCTGCCGCCTTAGCTGAGCTTGACAGACAACCTTGAAAGGTTTCTGGGGGAAAAGTGGCTGTGTGCTCCTTGCAGATCACAGGAAGGCAGAGCCCACCCTAATTAGAGCTGGTACCGGAAGCTCCTTGGAGCTGCAGGCTTTCCTGCTTATACAGGAGCGCCGTCCTTCCATCCTCTATGCTCTTTGAAGATATTCCTCTAGCTGTAAATAATAACAAAGTCTCTAAGCTCTAAAAAGCTGAGGCCTGGAGCCAGAAGATAGTCAGAAGATCCACTCTGTGAATGAATGGGGTCTCAGCTTCCCCTCTTCCTCCTGGCATCAGGGGAATAGTCCGGGTTCAATAGAAACCCTGAGATGAACTCAAAGCAGGTCTCTTTATTGCTTGTGTAGATTACTGAGAGTATGTTTAATAAAAATGTTTTTTTTTTTCCAAATAAGAATTTGATAGTACCCTCACCCTGTATCCTACAACAAAACCTTCCCGTAGCTTCCTCTTGTTCCAGAATCCGATCTGAATCCTTCCCCGAGCCTCTCTTCACGCTCCGCTGCCTCCTCTTAACCTCACCTCTCCGGAGGGTCATAGCTAAATTTCCTACAGTTGACGATGACGACTACTCTTCATCTTCAGGCCTGGCACCTCAACTTGTCCAGCCCTGTCTGTGCCCCCAGCTTGCTTTCAGGACTCACTTCCCACGAGATACCTTCAGATACTGTCTCCCATCTCCTTCCCCATCCCCCACCCTGCCAGCAGGACCATGTCATCCTGAAGCACCCTGCACACTTCACTATCACTGGGCTTAACCCAGCTAGTAACCTTGCCTGTGGATCTGGCTGCCTCCTCCACAAAGCTCAAAAGCTACCTGAGGGCAGGGATGGGGTCTTTGGCATGTTTCCTCCAACTGCCAGCACAGCCCACAGCACAAACATTCACAGAGTGAACAAATGTATCAACACTAGAAGGAAAACAGAAATCTCTAAATGTCTATGAACTGCAGCTCTCTGTAGAAAAGTCTTTATTCAGGGGTAAGGTAGGGTGGGGCACTTTTATTAGCATGTTTTCAGATGACAATTTTAGTAATGTGTTTTGCCAATCAAAAGTCTAAGACAAGCTTCCTGGCTCTTGAGATGCAGGAATAAAAAGCACACTCACTCACCTCTCGTTCGTGCACCCATTCTTTCACCTGGGTGCTATTGTGCACCCACTTGTGTCAGCACCCACCTGGGCATTATTGTGCACCCACTTGTGTCAGGCAGGGCGCAAGAGACCCAGAGGTAGCAAGCAAGGTGGGACCCCTTGGCCTGGAGCATTTCCAAAGGTCTTCCAGGGGAACACAACCTTCTTAGTAATAGCTTTATAGAGGACTTGAGAACTTTTAAGGACTCACTAGGATTCATGAGCCTCTGGGAAGAAATAAAAGCATTCAAATAAACTTGACCAAGAGTTACTTATGCCGAGAGGAAATGGAGGTAGGAAAAGAGGAGGAGAGTTTCAACAACAGCTGCAGGGATCTGAGACAGCGGGTATCAAGTGCTGTCTAAAAATCCACTGTCAAAGGAGAACCTGCAGCCCCTCTCTACACCTGCAGGAAGGATGAGTGGCTCTTGGACGTAAAACGGGATGGGAAGCCCAGCGCTAGGACACCTGCCATCTCCTGAGCCCCGGCAGTGCTGTTGGTACAGACTTGGCCCCACACCAAACCAGCATCAAATCCAGATTCTATAGCTTGTGAGCCTGATTAACTGTGAGTCTCACATTCTACCATCTAGAGCAGCATTTCTCAACTTGTGGGTTGCGACCCCTTTGGGGGTTGAACGATCCTTTCACAGCGGTCACCTAAGACCATCTGCATATCAGATATTTACATTATGATTCATAACAGCAGCAAAATTACAGCTATGAAGTAGCAACAAAAATAAGAACTGTAGTAAAGGGTCGCAGCATTAGGAAAGTTGAGAACCACTGATCTAGAGTGTGGGGTAAATACTGTCACTTCCTGGGATTACCAGGAGTAAATGAGATGAAATCCAGTGGTGTGTTTGTACACATTGGCACAGAATCTGTATGGATGTGGTGGGTAGAGTTATTATTCTGGTGTCATACAGGAGCAGCATGGTGTCATATGAAATGCTGAGTGCCCATGGTAAGGCCTGATGAGTAATACAATTCATACATATATGTCATGTTAATAGTTATGTTAGAATACAGGGTCCTACGCTATAACACTGTCCAGCATACTGTAGTAAGTCACCAGCAGTACTAGTCTGCACTGACTGAACACCATGCGCCAGTCCCTGTTCTGGGCACCTTACCCGTGTCAGTGCATTAGGAAGAAGTAGGTCCTGTTATGATCCTGATTTCACAGAGGAGGAAGCTAAGGCACATAAAGGCTGACCCACATGCCCAAGTCATATAACCAGAAACCTGTGGTGCCAGGAGCTGAATCCAGGTGTCTGGAAGGCAGAACACGCCCTCTTGCCACTAAACAAAAACTCAGCATGCCAAAGGCGCCATCCTGGGCACATGATCCATGGCTCCCCCTCTGTGGGGGCACCAGGGTTGCTGGCTGCTCACCACAGTTTGTCTCCTCAAACCACCACCTCTTCCTTTGAAAGCCCTGCCTTGGGCCTACAGTATGTCTACCTAGACTTTCAACACACCATCTCTATTTTCAGCTTGTACCATCCTCATGCTCCATTGTATACAGATCCCTTGATCATCTTAAAACACTCTGTGCTTTGCTCTTTAAGAAAAGCCCCTTATTTCTGGAATTTGGTTTAAGTTCATATTCCCTTCTTCATGGGGGTTCTGAGTTATCTATTTCCAGCTCCACATTGCTTTTGAAGCTCAAGGAATTAAAATGCTATAAAATGACAGCAATGCTCTCCCGGCCTTTACTTTTCTGAGTATAACCTGCAATCTTCAAACCCTCCTGGTGGTAGTGGGACTCTAGGCACCCCGCTTGGAACTGATGTCCTGCTTTTGCCTGTTTTATGTACCTAGGTTTCTGGCTAAGGTTTCACTTGAAAAGATCCTTTCTTAAAAGAAATTTGAAAACCCTAACAAGTCCTAACATATTTAGAGTTACTAAACATTAATGAAATGCTTAGAAACCACTGGTTTCAGTTTTTACTTTTCTTAGGGTAAGAAATGAAGATAAGGTAGGACCAGAGAGCCATCTGTCTGTCCCCCTCCCCTCCACAGTCTTTGTATGTCCTCAAAAACTCGCTCAGGGCACAGGCCCTAATGGTCAGCAATATCTAAGTCATGACCATCCAGTCTCTCCTGTTGGAACTTTCCACTTGACCTCTTACTGTCATAAAGACCATACTTACCCCCAAGGAAAATCTGGTTCCCTTGGGTGACCATGGCATTGCTGCCTTTAGAATGCCAACAAACCATTATCTCACTTCTAGAGTCTTCCAAGGCAGAAAAACCTCCACAGAACCCCAGTGAGCTCTTAACTATTCCTAAGAGCTCTGGGATAACAGGAGGTAGGACTCAGCAAAGAAAGACGGATTTCTAATGAGCCTTACCTGTTTTTCGATGAAAGCATTGATTCTCTGTAGCATCCCCTCACATGTAAATTCATATGGCATGTAAGGCTCGATCTGTGAAAATAGAACATGGTTCCATGAAGGAGGATGACCCAGAACACGTGGCACTCACCCATTCCTCCACTGGTTCACTGTCATACAGGTGCCAACTACTGGAGGCTGCTTTATGAGGGTTAAGACTATGGGCTAAAAGCCAATAGAACTGGCTCATGATCTCACCCTGCTCCTTCCTAGTTGTGGACCTTCCCTGAGCAAACTACTTGCCATCTCTAAGCCCCAGGTGCCCCATATATAAAAGGCTGATAAAATAAACCCACTTCTTTTAAGCTGTGATGAAGATCATATGGGGGGAATAAGATGCTTAGCTTAGTGTCTGCAACATCACAGGCATTCGACAAAAAGCAGTGATTGTCACGTGTCATCAGGTAAGCTCCAGGGGGTAAAGTCTGCAGCTAACGGGCCATCTTTGCATCCCAGCGCAGAGTAGTGTGTTACGTGTGGGGACTTAGACCTCTGGATGCGTGGCTGCCATTTTTAAGGACCCAGAGCAGTGACAAAGGCAATGGTCTGCAATAGTAGGTGAGGTTAGCACATACCCAGAGAACACGTGGAGCAAAATCAAAGTGACAAAGTGCCACAAAGAGCTCAGCTAGAGGGAGGCCAGAAGGTCAAAGCTGACTTCTGTTCCGGCTGGGCTTTTAAGGCCAGCTATGAACCTAGCAAGCTAAGAGGGGAGTGCCAAGGTGCCACAGATATCCCCGGTGGAAACAAGTAGTATGAGATTTGACTTGACAGCAGGAAGGTGAAGCTCAAGGCCATAGGTGCTAGTGAGACTAAGTTGGGAAAGAGTCACTGGATTTCCACAAAGCCTTCATATTTTGAAACAAAGGTACCTAGAGTTCTTTGAGGGGAGCAGGAAACCCAAGAAGGTGCTTCACTGGGGTGGAGGAGGTAATCTGATCAATATTGTGATACCAAAAGGGAAAGAAATGTGGGTTTGATCTGTGCTGCAGTGTTTCCCAACACCAAGACCTGTGTTTTCGGATCATAGCATTACCAACGTGAAATGAAAATTTCATTTCTAAGGAAATCACTAGCAATCTAGTCTACTTCAGTTTCAGAGAGTCCAATAGCATCTGTCAGGGACAGGGAAGAGGGGCACAACCAGCATCCTCCTAAGTTCCCCAGCTTAAACCCAATGGGAAAAGTACTGTAATATCTGAGCAGATGCTTCTATAAGAACAAGGAGTTTGCTCAATTCCTAGATAGCTCATCTCCCAAACACTCAGGATGCTCTGAAGAACTGCATCTTATATCTTCAGCTTGCTCCCTCTCATCCCAAGCTTTTAAGCTTACTGTTCTCTCTTTGACCCAGATACAATTCCTCACATTAAATGTAAAATTTGGGGGCGGTGCCTATGGCTCAAAGGAGTAGGGTGCTGGCCCCATATGCCAGAGGTGGCGGGTTCAAACCCAGCCCCAGCCAAAAACTGCAAAAACAAACAAACAAACAAAAAAAACATAAAATTTTTCTTTTCCTGTAAAGGATATTTTCTTGACCCATGAAGTGGCTCCGGAAGCTTTCTGTAACTCACCTAGAGACAAATTTCCTTCTAAAGATTCATAGAAGAAGAATTAAAAAAAAAAAAGAAGCTATATGAAGTAGAGACCACAGCATATCTTAGGTTCTTTGATCAGTGGACAAGCAGAACCTCTAGAATGGGATACCATTGGTGGTCATCTTTCATGAGACCACAACACATCCAGTTAAGTGGGAATCACAGTGAGAGCCCAAGTGCCATTCTGAAAACATATTCCAAAGGCATCCACTGAAAAGAAAGTGAACTAATTCAAAGGGCTCAATGTAAGAAATACAGAAAAATGGCTCTTTGTCTGTTCTCCTACCAACTAAGCCCCTTTTAACTGAAGGGATGCTGACTGGTCCCAGTTCACTCTTTTAAAGCAGATGAAGCCAAACAATTTACCCATAAAGGAAAAAAAAAGGAAATCATATTCTTAGGCCACCTTTGTTAGCAAGTTCAGCAGCCACCCTGCTGTGGATGGAAGCAGGCAGGGGCCTCTGCGTGAGAAAGCTCTCCAGACCAGCCTTGGCTCTGGGAAGAGAACATACCGGCAAGCCCTGAGGTGGGGCTTGGGGGAAAGGAAGGTGGGCAGATCTCTGCATAGCAGTTCTTGAGGAGTAAGTCAAGGCCTCTTAGGGAGATGAATGAAAAGTAAGTGCTAAAACCTCAACCAGTCGCTGAGAAACCCAAGTAGGGCCAACTGTGGAGAAACAAGGGCATGTTCTTGGTCATCCAGCTTTGTGGAAAAAGGGCTATTACTCATGCAGCTGGGGCCACAGGAAGGATGCCTGCAGGCTGCACTGTGGAGTTCCTGCTGGCTTTGGAAACTTTCCATTATCTCCCCATCATCTCCTCTGGAACTCTCTTCCTGAGAGATTTCCTGTCTCCACTCACCCTCCAGATCAGGGTATAGCTCCTGCCGGAAACTGCCCTCAGATCAGCCTGCATAAGAAACACTTCACAGTCTGGTGTGACAGGGCAAGTTTGGCATCTTTTAAGGAGAGATGGTCTTAGAAAGAACTAGAAGATCAGACTTTGAGTAGGGACTCCTCTATTTACTAACCATAGGATTTGAGTTAGGCAGATCCTGTAATTTCTCTTGATAACTTAAAATTTAAACTAGGTCATGTCATTCCCCTGCTCAAAACTTCCCTTCATACTTATAAAATCCAGATTGCTTATCATGGTCCTATTTATTTTTGTGGGGGAGGGGCCCAGAGTCTCACTCTGTCATCCCAGGTAGAATACAGGTGTCATCATAATCACTACAACCTCCAACTCCTAGGCTCAAGCAAGCTTGGTGGGGCATGGCCTTGTTGACATATTGATTCATACATTTGGTTTCTGGAATTGTGAAAACATAAATTTCTGTTGTTTTATACCCCCTAATTCTTTGTGCTACTTTGTTAAGGCAGCTTTAGGAAAGTAACAACTGAAGGGACTGGAGACTCAAGAAGGAGGAACTTCCAGCATCCACAAGAATGACCCTCCAGCACTGAAGCTTCAGATGTGTGGCTGGTATCTTGAGGCAGCCCAGTGGGACCAGGCTCTACCTAGTGCTTCTATCAGCTCGGTTATCTGAGTTGGGGACATTCTATCCTCGACTACTGAGACTGAAACTAGGACTGCCCATGTCATCAGTGGGAAGCCGAGAGCTGCATCAAAGTCCACTAACCAGACCATATTTTCAAGGCATCAGGGGATGGATGCCATACCAGCATGCTCTTGCTCTCAAGATGTCTTAGTTAAAACTGGCAACTCAGTGGGCCACAAACTGGTCGTCCCATTCTGTTTCCCGAAAGGAAAGGAAAAGATGGCATTCATGTGGGCCAACTGGCTACTCCTGTCAGGATATACACATTTCCAGCCTCCTGCCTATAACTTGGACCCATCCGCTTCTGGGTCCACTTCTGGGTTTTACTTTGCAGATTCATACTCTTCCTGTAAGATGTAACTCAAAGACTGCATTCTCTAGGAAGCCTCCTTACTCCCCACTCCTAGAGATTCTACATGTTGTTTTTGACACTGAACATATCCTGCCTGGTGTTGTGCTTATCTGCAGACATCTATTCCTCTCTCTTCCTCTCCCATCCACGCATTAGGTAAATCCCTATGCCAGGTACTGGTAATATTGGAGTGAGACACGTGTATTTCTTGCCTGCACATTGCCTATAGTGGAAATTCAGATTATTAGTAACAAAAATAGGAACATTTAATATTGACTAAACAGGTATTATGTGGCACACATTATATTTAAGCACTTTATATATATTATCTGACTTCTCAATATGTGGATTATAGATGAGGATCTGTTGCCAGTAAAGGGAACAGATGGAACCCAGAGCCAAACTGTGCATGCCCAGTCCCTAGCATGGCTACACTGCTTCTCTGAAAACATCATAAAAAATGTAGAGTGTATGCCAATCTTACAAGTTCAAGGGCAAAGTACACCTTGATACTGGACAGAGTCCATGGCAGTCTCAGGGTAGGCAGAGAGGATAATTGAATTCATTCCCAGTGGATGGTAAGATTCCCACAGGCAAAAAGCCAGCCTCATCCATGTTTATGAAGGCAAATGCCTCCCCCCTACCCAGCATGGCTCAGAGGTGCTCTGTGTATAGTAGGTACTTAATGAGTGTCTGCTGAATTGATCAGAAGAGTCTTGAAATGTTAGTTATAGATGCCTCATAAAAATATTTCCCAGGATTTCCTTCTACTTTTTTCGTAGAGGAAACAGGACTCTTTTCAGGCCTTTGTGAGGATAGCATAATTAGATCCCTGAAGCAAGCACATCTCAAGCCCCTGCCTTCTGCACCTGGCACCCCAGAGAACCATACCAAAAGGGTCTATAGAATCCACATCCCTACCTGGACACCTGCTCTATTCCACTTCACACAACATCCACAAAATCCTAGGGCCAAATCCTACAGCTTGGTGTTTTTCTAACTCCCAGGGTAAGCTGATATGGAAATGCTCCATTTACTAGAACTAAGTGACACTTCCCACACATTTCAGATCATATTACAAATGGGGGAAAGTAGAATAAAAGAAAAGACCTTCTGATTTAAAATTGCTTTCACCGCATCCTCTACTTCCTCCTGATTGTTGAGGTCGACAGTCCAAACGTGTGGCCGGCCGATGAAAACTTCAGCGTAAGGATGCTGGGATGTCAGCTGGAAAAAACAAAACAGAACAAAACACCTCACAAACACTTCTTAAAACCGTTGTGTGCTAGATAAAGTGTTGTGCTTTGTACAGTACCGAGCTGTACTTGCATCAGCGTCCTTCTCCCTTGACAATCAAAACCTCCTAAGCATCATAAACACATAATAAAACAGTGATGGTTTCCCACGGCGAATATCACTTGGGAATAAGACAATGTCACAACCAGGTGACAAAGAAGCTGTTACAGGTGGCTTTAACCCCCAACATCACACCAAGAAATAATGAAATGTATCCTTTGCCATAATCTAGCCCTGGAAACCATCAAGACCAAACCATTATCTGTTATCTTGGCTAGGACAGAACAGGTATGCACAGAAAACCATAAGACCCATCAAGCAAGCCTGCAAATTCACACAGGATGAGTAATGGCACATAAAGTGACAGAAAGGCAAATAGCCTCAGAAAAACAAAATTTTTGGAATGGTTTCAGGAATGATAATTTAGCATGATGTCTGGAAAAGCAAACTTACTTTGCTTAATTTTAATTAAGGTTACTTAATTTTATGAGTAAAGCATTTTTTTGGTCCTAAAGGAGGTTTTAAGAACAAAGTGTGTTCAAACAAATCATGTGTGAATATTGAGACTTCTGAGTTCATGAAGAGTACATTCTTTCTATAAGACAGTTATACCTATGCTTCACTTTTATTTCTACCTCTGTTCTCCTATTACTTTAAGGTCATGGTGTAAAGGAGGAATTCAAGACATTTGTGAGCGCATTCTTCAGTTACCCTTAGTCCGTGGGTGGGAAACATGGGTACAAGATGCCTTGTGGAAGAAATGTCTGCTTCCCATGCAACTTTCAAATGCCCTGCTGGGCTTTCATGTGAGTTTATAGACTCCAACTCTTTGGTACAGTTTTAATATACATGGAATCTTCCAGGGTCATAATTATCATGTAAAGCAAAGTCTCTCTGTACTCTGTTTTATTTGGAACTTCACCAATGAGCCATCACCATTTCAGAAAACTCATAGTAGTAGAGTTAGTACCACTCAGGACATCAGTCTTCAGTAAAAAACACCCAAATCAGTCTGCATTTGTCGTTATCCCATTAATAGCAATTATGTATATAGACACACTCTTTAGGCCTCTTTCGTAATGTCCATTTAAGCAAAAACAACTGACCATATTTAGATGAATGTTTCACTTAAGTACAAACATTGATTGTGAGGAGGAATGAGACATCATATCATCTAGTATAGTTCTGTTATAGTACAGTTTGATAACACTGAAATATGTGTTACTTTATTAGGGAATTTTTTTTTTATAATCAAGTTAGAGAATAATTCTCTTGAAATTACATATGTAGACGAGTTATATAATTAACAAGTTTCAGGAGAGAAAAGTAGACATTATATTATAAAAGCAAATGCTGAATCTGGTAGTGACGAAGCCTTTGCTCTGAAGACCATGGTGGCTTTTTTACTGCTGACTCCAATATAGGTTACAGAGCTCTCTGTAGGCCCATGGAGCTGGGGAAAATTCCATTTCTCTCTCTTCACATAGTATTTTGGATTCAACACATATGGATAAAGCCCCAGGCTGGGCTAGGCATTGTGCTGACCACCTGCACATACATTATTTATCAGGCTTCTCAGGTATCGATGAAGATTCTGAGATAAGGAGGGGTTTACACTTCCCCGAGACCACACAGACAGAAAGTAGCAGAGCCAATTCAAACCCAGATCCTTCAACAACTTATTACCTTTAGAAAGAAAGGACAATGGTAATTTTAAAGGATGCCATTGCATTCTTGAGACAAAGATGAATGCCTGATGTAAGCACCAGCCTTTAAACTATTCTCGTAAAATTGCCAACCTAAATTCAGGACTGAATTTATGCCTGTATTAGATTAGGTCTTTCCTAAAGATGAGCAAAATGTCATACCATTGTCATTTCGTGGTCTGGAGAACAAACTAATTAGCTTTTCTGATGGAATCAGAGTAAATTAAAGTCACCATCAATGTCACTATTTAGTAATTTACATTCTAGCAATCTCTCTCTCCTCCCCGCATTTAAGGTCCCTGCTTATTTACAAGGTTGCTCTAAGCACTCAGAAAATACAGAATGTGGAGCCATTATCACTTTACTCATTTACATTTATTGAAGGTTACTTAATTTTATGAGTAAAGCTTTTTTTTGTGATTCATTAGTTTTCCTCTGAATGTTATGTTCCTCCTTGTTAATTTATTGAGAACCATCTGATCTAAGCTACTTCACTGTATATCAATCAGCGAACTTACTGAAGTATAGTTTGTAAAAGTAATGAAAATATTTAATAAGATATGACTTCAGAGTGACTATTAAATCTCCTAGGAGAATATGTGTTAGCTTTATGGAAAAACAGCCCCGAAGCCAGAGAAATTTTCTCTCCTGAAATTTTCTACTAGTTTATAAAACGTCAGAATAATGATCAAGAATCTATTCATTCTAATGTGTTTTCCAATATAAAGATAATGGGCATTGCAGGTTTGGAAGGAGGGAAGATGGAATAGGGAGTGAAGGATGAATAATTACCTACTGGGTACAAACTTCATGGCCATCCTATATACACTATTCTGGCGATAGATACCTACAAACCTTGGACTTCACCACTATACAACAATATATCCATTTATCAAAACTCCACTTGTACTCTCTAAGTCTACTGAAATTAAGAAAAGGATTTTTGTTATAAGAGCTACAACAAAGATAAAAATTCAACTTATACATAATGAAGTATAACCTACACCATTCATAATACTTAAGGGGTCAGGAAACTCTTTTCCCTGAGTAGATATTGTGGTTTGAAAAATTGGTCCAATGTGAAAATAAAAACATAGCCAAACTCACATTTAGAAATCTAGACTTTCTCTTCTCTTAAAATAAAGGCATAGAAGAATTGATATGGATCCATTTATGTGTCTCAATTGTTGCTTAACATGAAAGATTTACATAGGCACAAAAAACTGCTTTGTAATTACATACACTTAGGTTAAGATGTTTCTATTTGCTGAAGAAAAAAAGATAACTTCTAGAGGTTTTTTTTTTCTTACCCACAGAAATCTGTAGAACTTTTGATAGTCCTTTCCTCATTAAAAGCATCTTTGGTTAGGAGGACTTGGGGGCTTTGTGAGCTGACCGAGCAGAGCAGGGTGGCCCACTTGGCCGTGAGACAAGTTCATTGGCTATGATATCAAGTTCACTGGCCCTGACATCAGGTCTGTTGGACCTTCTCAGAGCTGTCTGATGCTGCTACAGGAACAAGTTCATCAAACGGAAGCTCATCTCCTGGCTAAAGCGAACAGACCTTGGGGCCTCCTCGACTTGTTAGTACACATGCTTCTCAGGCTTGAGACACCCTTTCCTCCATGTCCTTTAGCTAAAGCACAGCCCCTCCACTATGGGCAGTCATTCCAGATGACTCTCGCAGGAATGACCCTGGGTCTCAGTGCCACCCCCTAGACAGAAAACTAGTTTGGGGACATCCAAGTAAAATTCAGCAGCTTAGTGGAGACTGGGTATCAGCAGGATTAGAAGAGTATTAAAAATTACCCCTGAGCTAAGATGATCTAGCCTGAAGGCTATAGCTGTAACTGGTCCCCTCCCATTCCCGATGGCAATTTTGTTACCTACTTAGTTCCACATTAGAGAACTGTTCTATGATTTTGTGCCTCCATTCTGATGAATTTTTTTCCTAATCAAAAGACCACCTGCATGACTGAGTTGAGAGACTAGTCTATTAACGCTTTACTTCTTCATTCTGGAAACATCTGCCCTCTAATTTTTTTTTTTTTTTTAGACAGAGCCTCAAGCTGTCCCCCTGGGTAGAGTGCCGTGGCATTACAGCTCATAGCAACCTCCAACTCCTGGGCTCAAGCGAGTCGCCTGCCTCCGCCTCCCAAGTAGCTGGGACCACAGGCGCCCGCCACAACACCCGGCTAGTGCCCTCTAATATTAATAAAACCTCTTGAGGATCTGGTTCAGAGTGGCACCTATCTGCATCTCTGCAGGCTGATACGTGTCTGTCTCTCTGGGTCTCAGCAGACTTTTTCACAAAAACTCTGCATGTTGATTTCTCGGCGAGTTCCTCCCTCTACCTCCAGATGGGGTAGTCGGGAAAGTCTCCTCTTGGGACATTCTAAGTCTACCGTGTCATGGCTCCTGCCTGCCCCGTAACACTCAACCATCACCTTTCTTACCTAACTCTGCACATTCTCCACCTGACACAACTCCAAACACACTCCCCCTCATTCACTTAGCTATTTCTTTATGCCCTTCTGCTGATTATACATCTGTCCTATCACTCTTCCATGTGTGAGTGATGAAAAATGGGGCTCTTAGGAAATAGAAAATGTATCCTGACAAATACCTCCAATGCAGCAATTTGTACCTTCCTGTGGGGCTACATTAAACATCTGTCAACCGCCCAGACTCCTGGGGGAACCCAGGACTGATGGAGTTGTCTGTGTGAGGTCACTTGATGAGCAACTATTGAAAGGATCCCACAGTCTCTTTCCAACAGAGTCTCATTTAAGGACTGGTGGCCTCATCTCAAGGGACGGGAGAAATCAAAGGCCAGTGCAGCAGCTCCAATGCCTGTTCTCTTTTTACACCATGAAGGATAAAAACCCTCCATGATCTCAGCAAAATGTAAACAACTAAATAATAGCACCCAATAGAAAACAAAGAACATACTTTTCTTAATAACTTTATACTGGCTCATCTGATCTATGTGACATTATATCATTTATTGGGCAATACTTAGATTGTGTTTAAGAGTGTCCTAAATTTTTTTCAGGAAAAAATACTCCCTTACCATAAAGTGTCACGAAACTCTTTAGGCCTGGTGTTTAAAAAAAAGGTGTTAGTTGCCAAGTTAGTCTAAGATACTTCCCAAAGGGTTGTATGCAGATGCTTCAGGAAGAAAAGATACAGATTTCTTTTCTTTTCTCTTTTTTTAAAGTTTCT